CATGAGATGTCACAGCATGGAGGCTGGATGTTGGTCATGTGCTATCACAGTATGTGGCTTTCACCAGTGCTGGTGCAAAGCTCTCAGACTTTTTTTTTTTTTTTTTTTTTTTTTTTTTTTGGTACTGGGGATCAAACTCATGAACTAGCACTTGCCAGGTAGGTGCTTATGCCCCTGAGCTAAATCCCCAGTCCTTACTTTCTAGCCTCTAGAAGTATAAACCAAACATTTCTATTATTTATAAAACATCTGATCTATGGTATTCTGTTATAGTAGCTGAAAACAAACAAAGACATCAGCAGTCCTATCACATCATTTCCATCTTTCAGTTGAAGAGGCTTCAGAGGAGGTCTGAGAAATGAAATGGCCTGTGGAAGGTCACACTGTGGAGCTAACACGTCTCCTCACCCTATGGTCTAACTGGCCCAAGAGCTCTGAGAGACAGAGAAGTTATGGTACAGGATGAAGGACTCAAAGCTCCTTGGCACAAATACCTTGGACAAATTTGTCTCTGTTGATGGTCTTTCCTGAAAACTCCTCAGAACTTGGAGAAATGTGTGTTTGATGAAGGCCCTTGCAAGGAGCCTAGGCCCCTGGGCTAAGTGCATGGGAGCTGACCGTGAGACCTAGGGACCCAGAGGGAGGTTCTCTGGTCACAGGGTTACCACATGCAGCTGTCTGAGACGATGCTTCTGTCCAGTATGCTGGGTGGTGAGACCCAGCCAGCTCTCGGCTTCCAGCAAGAAGGGCCGTATGCAGAGGAGATTCTGATCCTTCTCTCTCTCAAAGACACATGGGGAGTACTTAAATCTAGTAAGTTATCTACACTGCTCTAAACAAGATTACATTTTCAAATAAAGGCAGGATCTGACAGCTAAGGCGCACATCTTCTATTTAAGATAGAGACTAAGACCATTCAAATGCAGTCAATGGTGACAGATGCAGATAAAATCAAGTTCTGATAGAACGGATGGACAGTGTAAGGATTTGCTTGCTCTTGGTGACATATCACAAACAATGACCCTAAGGAGAGTGATCAAACAGTGGGAACTTTGTGACCATTTCTCTGTGGTTTGTTGGCTGAAGGTAGTGGTGTGGGTGGAAAGGTTGTCACCCTCTCAGCTGCCACAAGAGGGCAGGGATGAGGATCATCTGCATTTGGTTTCCAAAACAGCAAAGCCAGGAGTGGGAAGGTGGAGTGGGAAGCTAGGTGACTGGGGGGCAGAGCAAAGTGGGGGCATTTCTTGAAGCAGCCAGGCACCGTGTCAGGAATGGGGTGAGCAGAAACTCTGCAGACCCCAAACCAAGACCCACTGTCTGCTCCAGGTGCTAGGGGCCACTCCCTGGGTGGCAGACACTGCACATTCTCTGCCTGGTTTTGTTTCATCTTCAAAGCAAACTCTGTGTACACAGTAGACTGGGTCTCTAAATAGAAAGGGTCACACAGCTTGCGTGGCAGAGCTGAGATTCAACCCAAGGCAGGCTGACTCCAGTGCTCCACGATCCTTCTAACATTCTTGGGTTCTCTGACCATTAATCATAATATGTCAACTTGATTGGATTTAAGAAATGCCTAGCAGATTAGTAAAGCACTCATCCAGCGATGTCTCTGTCTGGGGTATTTCCAGAAATGCCTGGCACGTAGGCCTGCAAATTGAAGGGAGGAGGGAAGGCTCATTCCAATTGCTGTAGCACCAACCAATAGCCTTATAGCCTGGATGGAATGAAAGGGAGGGGAGGAGGAAGCCAGCCTGTGTTTGGAAAGCTCCTTTCTGCTTGGATGAGTGTGTCTTTTGCTACTGCCATTGCCTGTGGGGCTCAGACTCCCATTTCTTCTAACTACCCACATCAGTGACTTTCCAGGGAGCTTCTATGATCTCAGGCTGATACTGCGTCTTCGACCTTCTTTTCCCTCAGCTTACAGCTTCATGGACGAAGCAGATGCTGCACACTTCAGCTCATCAATGTGCACACAGCCACTGTGGATTCTCTCATCTCTGATTCTCTAGGCCTAGCTGATAAATTCCCTTCTTTTCCTTTAGAGAACCCAAACCCTAACCAATATAGTAAATGACCCAAACCAGGATGGTTAGTGCCTAAAGCATTCACCATGAGGTTTCTACTGAGAAAGAAATGTTCTCTTGGTGTGGCTGATTTGAAAGAAAAAAAAAAGATAGACCTGAAGCTGCTGGCAGCCACTTTGAGCCATGAGGGGAACCTGCCTGAAAAAGGATGCTCTGTGGTGGAGATCAGAGTAGGGAGATGGAGGTCCCAGACATTCTGATGAAACTACATAGGGCTGAGTCTACATAGGGCTGTGCCTCAAAGTAGACCTTTCCCTACACTTCCATAAGAAAATACAATTCCTTTTTCACTTAAGACCATGCGGCATGGATTTCTGTCACTTGCAGTGGAAAGAATCCTAATTCTTGTCAAAAACTCAATTCAAGAGGAAATATCCCTGGGCTAGGTAGATGAACTAGAATCTTCAGTGTAGTAGAGATCTATCTATCTATCTATCTATCTATCTATCTATCTATCTATCTATCTCTATATCTATCTATAGCTACCTATCTATATCTATCTGTCTATCAGTCAACTATCTATCTAATCTATATTATATGCATACAGACTCCTGGGGAATCTAATGATCTGACTGCTGTCTCTTGTGATCCTCTCCCCAGATTTTGTACCATGGAGGATGAGGAAAGCCCAGATTGAGAATCTAAAACAGCCTAAAGGGATGGCTCAGGTATGCTACACCCAGCACAAGCTTAAAGACTGAGATACTTTTAGTTGGCTGGATCTTAATTTCTTAAACTCTCAAATGGACCTCACACTCACTGTGATTGTGGCAAGTCTCCACCTTTGTTCAAGAGGAGGAAGCTGCTTTGTCTTGATCAAGACTCCGTTCTCATCTTTCTGTACCCACAGCTAGATGACACCCCAGCTCTCCAATGGGCTGGGTTCTAACCGACAGAGTGTGAGCAGAAGTGATGTGCGCCATGCCAGACTCAGCTTGTGAAGCTCTCCCTGGGGTATCTGTGATTTTTCCTCTTCTAGACTGATGACCAGATCATGCAGAATGTGGTATCAGTGTCATTCTTGGAGACACGCTTCATAATAAACAAGAAGAAACAAGCATCTGTTCTGTTAAGTCACTAAAATTTGGGGTTTGTTGTAATTGTTTCCTTAAAAGTGGTTTTTACGAATTCCAGATAACTTTCCCATCTAATGGGTCATCTGTGCCTTATACAAACTCTGGGTGGCAGCCTGGGAATGGCATTATACAATACTTGTCCTACCTTGCATAGTTGCAGAGGATAGAAAATGGTTCTAAAAATAGCAGTTTGATTTGGATATAAAGACGTTTCTATGATGTGTCTTTCTTTGCCCTCATCCTATTCCTATTCAGTCGGCCATTTCTGTAGCTACATCTCTTCTCAGAGATTCAGCACTATCTGTCCACACTCCCACAAAGAGTGCGCCAGGCTTTGCCGCTGTCCATGGTACTGAGTCTGGTTATGGTTACAGAGAGTTAGAAGAATGGGCCAGGACATGAACCTTGCACGGAACTGGACTTTGCTTCTGAGCTTTTGTTCCTTTGGCTGAACTCTTAATAGCTCCAAATGCTCTCTGTAAAGGGGAAAATTATACTTTCTCATTGGATTGTCGTGAAGATCAAATAATGTATTAATGTTCTCCCCCCAACCCCTGTTCTTCTCTTTTTGAAATATTGAACCTCCTGCTCTTCCATGTCAAAACTAGAAGATGAACTGATGACAATTTCATATTGTTGTTCATGGAGGGCTGAATGGATTGGGGTGAAAGTAAACAGCCTCTAGACAGATTAGTCCTCGTATTTTAGCTGCCATGGCCTGGTGGGTTATGGAATAACGTAGAGATCAAGCAAAATCTGAAGCTTGGGGAAAAGTATGGATTTTGGCCGTATGGTTGTTTCTTCCTCCTCCTCGCTCTTATCTTATAGTCTCTTTCTTTATTAGTGTGTGTATGATACATAACAATTCCTTTTTCTTGAGGAATTGGTACTTACATGTACCGCATCTTCTTTTGTAAAATGGTAGGCAGAGGGTGGTACCTCAGTGGTTTTAAACTTCGTAGGACCAGGATATCTTTTAGTAGTCTCACCACTTATTGATCCCTACATTTGTAAGGATTTTGTCAACTAAACACACTGTCTTTATTAAGGAATAACAAATTCATTTCTCCAATTTTATTAATAAAAGACAGTTAGAAATGATTGTGCAATAAAAACAGCATTAAGATTCCCAGGTTAATGAGGTGGCTGATGCCTTAGTTAGTCTGTGTGGCCTCATTACTGACTAATGTGTGGATTCCCTTAGGTTCTTGAATTTTTGCCATGGATTCACAGACCCCAATATAACTTCTGTGAACCTCGGGGCAGGCATCATTACTTGCAATGGGTTCTCGGCATCCTTCCAGCTCTGACCTGATTCTGTTGAGCTCTGATTTACTGAGAGGGACCATTGAGACTTCTCTGCTATTTGGCTTAATTCACACTCAGGAGATGGAATTGATAAGCCTCACTATCTCCTTCACAGGGATGAGGATCAAGAGTGACCAGAGGCACTGTGTGTGTGACTCAGAAGTTGGTTTATTAATAAAAAGATGACTGCCAGGGGAAGTAGTCAGCTGGCCTCCTTTCTTTGGACACACTCTCCCTGTTGCACTTGATATGAGAAGCCAGTTTAAAATTGGAAGTATGCTGAGTGGGCATAAACCTAGAGTTAGGAAGTCTATTGGATAATCTTAATGACATTGTCTTCATGCTATGATGGCTGCTAGTATACAACTTCCTGGAGGTTTTGTTTGAACCCGTCAAGGAATGTAACCCCCTCCCCTGACTCCATCCAAGATTAGGCTGGAAGCTACCCAGCTGTGCCTTTGGGCTCTGCTTGCCTCACCTGTGTTTGCTAGCAGAGTCCCAGCTGAAATGCTCAAGCCACTGCACTGCTTACCTGCTTTGGTGGCAGCTGAGAGGCTTTCTTCACTGCAGTGGGCACCTTGGGCTGGTCTTGTAGCATCACACCATGTGCCAGCAAGACCCTTCCTTATTCCGCTGGGCCTTTCCAGGACAGCTTGTTGGTCTGTCTCACTCTAGAGTTTGGAAAACAGTCATGGACAAGTGAACAGTGGTTGAAAATGTGATGTGCAGCCGAGAAGCTGAGAAAGCTACTCACTTTATCCTCAGTCACAGAAGAAAGTGGTGTCACCATCAGAGAAGGGAGGAGCAGGAGCAGGGGAGATCAAGGCTATTTGGAGGATACGGCCTCTTGTCAGCAGATGGTGTCTGTATCTTACACCAAGGCCTTCAGTGACTTGCTTAATGCTGCCTCATCTCACAAAGGGTGTGTGATAATCTACACAAAAATACACAAAATACATGAAATAAGGGCATAAATCAATTAAGGGTAAGAAAACTGAATATGAATATTGCTGAATAATTTTAAAATAAGATTAAGAGGTAGGATTGACATCTTTCTGTCATAAAGCCTTGGAAATCATCTTTAGTACACTGAAAATGTGGGTCTGAGCTTCCTGTGAGCCAAAGCATGGATAAAACATGATGGGTTCCAGAATCAGGAGGCCAGTTGGTGAGACCTCTGGGAAAGGATGGCACTGGGCACTGCTGTGGGCATTTGGAGGAAAGGCCCTGTCCTGCCCAAGGGGCATCAGGAGAGCTCCTTGGTGACAACTAAAAATGGACCAGGGAAGAGCTTTGTCTCTCATCCAGGGATTTCTTGGTGCAGAAAATTTGGCCTTTCCTGGGCTCTGCAAAGCAGCACATGCAAAGGCAAGAAGATTGGATACATTGCCAGAGGAGTGGGCACTTTAAAGTTCTAGAACAATGATTATGTTAATTATATACTTAAGTATAGCAAAGCTTCCCAAGATGTAGTGGCTTGAAAGAAAATAAACATTCATGACCTCAGAGCACTTCTGAATTGACAATTTAGGAGCTGCTGAGCAGGTGGTTCTGCTTCTCCCAGAAGCTCGCAGACAAGAGGTCTTCTGGACTGCAGTCATCTAGGGTTTGATGGGAGTGAGGTTCTATCTCCAAGACGGTGCTCACCTAGCTGACAAGTTAATGATGGCTTGGCAAGAGGCCTCAGGGCCTCACTGTTTGAGGGCAACTTGTGTGTCCTCTTGACATGACACCAGGTTTCCCCTAAAGTGAGTCATCTAAGAGAAAGGGGGAAGCAACAATTCTATCTTCACAACCCAGCCTTGGAAGTCACATTATGTCATTTCTGCCATTTCCTATTAGTATACAAATCAACTGCATTCACTGTGAGAGCATGTGAACAGCAGGAAGAAAAGATCAATGAGGGTCATTGAAGGCTGGTACAATAATGTTAATAAAAAATGATAAAAGTCACACATAGCAAGATGCACGGGGAGCCCAGGCACTGATTAAATTCTTTTATTTGTATAATCTTCAAGGAATCTTTTCAGCAACAAACAGTTGGGTGCTGTCACCAACCCTGAAATGCAGAGAAGGAAACAGAAGTTCATGGAAGTTGTGTGAGTGGCCCAAGATCTCACGGTGAATAAACAGTGGTGTTGGGATTGAACAGATGTCCAGAATCAGGGCCCCTTCTCTTCACTGTAACCCTGTCATACCTCTCCAGGCACCTTCCCCTGTAACTGCTGTGGTACAGCTCCTCCTAGCCCTTTCTGCTCAGAAAGCTTCACCAAAGTGTCCAGGAAGCAAGATCTGGAGCAGGGACATTCTTTTATCATGGACCATCCAGGAGCAGCTCTGTGGGCCTCAGCGCAGCAGAGGATTTCTTCTCCTGCTAAGGGAAGCTCAGAGCCCCGTTCTCCCCTGACTGATGGATGAGCTTAGTGAATGAAGGGCATGTCTGACCTTTTCTGCTGCAGAGAAATGAACTTCCCTCTTGCTTTTCCAGTTACCTGCAGACATTGCAGCAGCTAGGCAAGGACAGGTGTGTGGTTTTCTATAAGCCAGGTACCACCCCTTTCTGCAGTCTAGTGACTGCCACAGCCCAGATGCTAAGCAGAACCCTGGGAAGATTGCCCCAGCTAAAGGCTGAGCACCCCACAAAGGCAGAAGCTGATGGGGCCAGGCATCAGATAGCTTCACATTACTACACAAAATACCTAAGATAGGCAGCAATCACATCAGGGTAGGAGCATTTGGTAGAGCAGAAATGCTCATTCATGGCCTGAAGAAGAAAAAGAAGAGAAGAGATGGGAGGTCTCATATTAACTTTTGGGGGCACACCTCCAATGATCCAAGGGCCTCTCAATAGGCCGCACCTCTCAAAAGTTCCACTGATGCCCAATAGTGCCATGTTGGGAACCACAGCTTTAACACAGGGCCTCCCAACACCCCATCCTCTGCCCTCATCTCCCAAGTCACTTGCTGTACCACATCCTATGCTCTCAAAAGGCCACCTATACCCCACCTTGGGATGGTTGATGCCCTCTGTCTCTGTCTGGCCTGCTCTCCCCTTCTCACCTACCTCCACCTGGAACCAACTGCTCCCTCCTTGGTGTTACCGTTCACTGGGTGTTGGGGACCGAGTTGTTCCCTTCTTTATTGTGGCTCCTCTTTACTTTCTGTCTGGAACCATACTTGTTGGCAAACTTTATTTAAGAAAAATACAAGGTGTCATTGTTCATATCTTAAGAAATTACAATTATCTTTTTGCACTGCTGGTGCATTTCTTGTCTGGACCCAATGGTTGGTTCAGGGGAGAACACTAAAATATCCCAGCGGGAGCACATCAGCATCATGAGCTACAGGCGCTGGCAGCCTGAGCTACGCTTAGAATAAAACCTCCGCTCCTTGCCGTGGCGAATGCGGCCCTGCAGGCCTGCCTGACTCAGCCACCTTCACCTTCCATCAACCTCCCCTCCACTCACTGAGCTCCAACCTCGCAGCCTGATTTCTGATGCTGAGTTGTGCCGAGCTAACGCCTGCTTGGGGTCATTTGAACCCACCACTCCGTCTGCTAGAACCTACTTTCGCCACAACTCTGCGAGGGGCTCTGTTCCCCCATTTGAGTCTCAGCTCAGCCTTCTTGTTGTCTCTATCTATCTTTCTCTACCCTCCCCACTCTTGTAGTACTCTGATGTGTTTTCCTTGTTGCACTTACCAGTTTCAGAAATCACCCTTTGTACAATTAATTTCACTTTATCACCTTTATGTTCTTGATAGGACAAAGCGCTACATGTACTGGCATCTTGCTCATCTTTACAGTTGCCGGGCCAGAGCCCCAACAGTTCTGGGCACATAGGAAATTCCTGCTCCAAGAGCTGAGTAAGTAGTCACACGCAGATACTGGCATGCGAATGTCTGTCTTTCCCCTCTTGGTGTGTGTGTGCGGGGTCTGCCCTGGCCCCTAGTGTCTTGAGCGTAGAGGATGAGCGAAAGGGCCATCTGCCCTCTAGGTTAGTGTACCTGCCTTTTCAGGGGACAGCTATGTGTCCCAGTGTCTTGAAGAACAGTTGCTGGAGGCACTTGTTGAACTGGATGGAATTTTTGTATGGCTACCTTTGGTCATTGGAGGAGGGTCTGTCAGGCCCTTCAGATGGGCCTTGCTGACTCCCAAAGTTCTCATTCTCAGCTGTGAGTTCTGGATCATGCAAGTGCAAAGGCTAAGCTTACACACAGCAGATGTGCTGATGGAAGACCGGAAGAGCCTGTCTTTGATGCCAGGCTTCAGAGAAGCGGTGCAATATCCTCCTGACACTTGAAAATTGCAAAATTGAGAGTTTTCTTCTCACTTGTTAGCTATGTATGCAGGCTCCTCTGCACAGATGGATTCCAGGTCTTGCCCTCTGAGGCTGGATTTTCCACTGCCCCTACATCTGCCTACAGATATCATTGTGACCCCACAGTGGGTCACAATGCCTCATGGGCCCTACACACTGGAGTTCTGGTGTTTTACCAAGACTCAGCTACAAATGGCTTTTGAGAAGGGCCCATGTCACTTTCACCACTAAAAAGGTGTTGGGTAGAAATTGTTTCAGGTGTGGCTGGATCCAGAGGGCTGTGTTTTTCTTTACTTAGCTTTTTCTTATGGGTTCCCTCTGTGTGATGGATATTTAGGGGCAAAGGGGCCCCTGGAAGCCTTAGACTCATTGGTTTTATTTACTGAGTTCCATTCACTCCATTCCAGCAACTCTTTTTTATTTTTCCTGTTCCTTAGACAAACCAGGCATATTCCTGCCTTAGAGTATTTGCACTGGCTATTCCAGGTGCCTGGAAATTCTTTGCCCCTATCATGCTCACATTCGCCTTCCCAGTGAGGCCAGTGTGTCCACCCTACTCAAAACTGGAATCTCCCTCCTCTGCACAGCCAGTCCTTCTTCTTACCTTGCTCGTTTCCCCCCACTGCAATTACAGCTTTCTAGTAAGTATTTATTGTCAGTACTTATTATCTGTATTTCCCTCCAATCCCTCAAATGTCTTGAAGCATCCAAAAACCCAGTAGAATCCCATAGTTTTTTCATTTGTTGAATGAATGAATGAATGAATGAATGAATGAATGAATGAATGAAAAATAAAAAGAAATTAATTCAACCTCCAGGCATCGGAAATATAGCAGGGAAGAAAGCTAAAAATGCCTGAGCTTTGGGCCTTACCTTCTGGCAGGGAAAGCAGACAGTGAATGAGATTTTAAGGAGTGCTAATTACTGGAGTTTCAGGTGGCCATAAATGCTGGGCAGGCATAGCCAGGGGCCACTGTTAAGATGAGATCCAGTCTGCTATTTGCTAAGACCTAAGAAGCATGGGGATGATTCTTCTGTCATTTTAATTTTATTTTTTTTCAGAAGCTGGAGAGAGCACACACATTGCTAATGATGGTAATAAAGCTTCTCCCAGATTTGTTTACAAGTTGTGTTCGCTTTTCTTTTCATTCCCTTTTCAGTTTGGAGCTGGAGTGGGCAGCTCCCTGCTGACCTACCATTCCCTTGACATTTCCCACTTACGTGATTTAAATGAAGAGAGAAGCTAGTTGGCTGGGAGCTGCTGGTGTTTGGAAACCCCTCCCGGTGCAAGCTTCTTCCAGGAAGAGCAGCAACCCAAACCCATATGCCTCGACAGACTTGCATTGGCACTAGTGTCTCTTTTTTTATCGACACAAGTATTTTATCAAAATTTGCCTGGAGAGAACATTCATCTTCAAACAGACTGACAGTAGACGATAGGACACTGTGGGCATCCTATCTATATAGTATGACCCTTGCATATAGATGTAGGAGAATAATCAATATTTCATCATCAAATTATGATCTGGCTTTCAATGTGTTCCAAAAAGAATTTACAGATGAATAATGAAGTACAATAATAATTTTGAAAGCAAAGGTTTTTTCATTTCAATAA